ATAAGTTTATTTATTTCCAATTTACATATTTTTGAAGCGAATCATGTTTTTATTCAATTAAACATAATTCGAAAATTGATTATTTACTCGAATGCCTTTTGTTAAGAAAAAAATTATTATAAAATTTTCATCCAAGGTGTTCTGTAACCACCACTTTTAATATGAATTTTTATAACCGGTGTCAAAAATGTAGTTTAAAAAATGGATATCAGGTGTCGCAAATTACAATTCAAACAAATACAATAGTGCTACAGAAATCTATCAATATCACTAACATAAAAACAATTTGATTGCTTGATGAAATTTGGAGGTGTGTTTTATTTTATTTTGAACATTAGTGTCTTATTTTGAATGTTTTTATTCTATTTTGAACCGGCATTAAACTGCCGACCCAATTCTGAATTTACAACTATCAATGTTCAACCCTTTAGCCCTGTAATTTTGAACCCAACCCAGAAGATAAGGGAACTCCTGGATCAAGAGTTGGGATATAATGGACTTCACGAAAGACTTTTAGATGGAACTAACCGGCATTTATGCTACATAGAAAGGAAAACCTCAAAACCTACCAGGTTACCCCTTTGTAAGGTGAACGCTCTATCCCCTGAGCCTCCGCAGCTCAGGTGAGTCGTATTTAATTTTATAACCGTAGTTGAACAGCCTACCCAAAAAAAAAAGACTTATTATCGACTTCCAACTCTTTTCTATTTAATCCGGGTCCCGTAGTGGAATGATCGTTAAGACACGGTTCCAAGCAGATCACCGAAGTCAAGCATCACTGGCTGCGGTCAGTGTGCGGGTGGGTGACCACTTGGATCAGTCTGCGTCGGGACCGAGGGTGTACGGTATTGGTCCTCGTTAAACTGTTCTACTGTAAAGTGCTCGACTTCGCGCAGGTCGTTGGGCTATCGAAGCGGGAGTGCCATCCCCTCTGCAGAGGATCAAAATTGTGATGGCATGTCTTCGAATCATCCTCAAGAATGTTTTCCAGATCGTCGCCAACTGCCCATTTTGCAGCTCTAGTGCGACGTAAATGAACTTCAACAACAACATTAACTATTTAATCCGGCAATCGAACATTAGTGTTTTCATTCTTACCTACAACAGATTGGGGAACGCAAGAAATTTCGTGAGGTGTTAAGGATGATCATTACGGAACACCCTGTATAATTAATTAATAATAATTAATAATAATTAATTAATAAATATGAATGCATAAAAATTATTTTGTAATATTTTGCAGGTAAATGCTAATATTAAAATAATTGAAGGCTTTATTGTAAGACAAAGATAAGCAGAATTAGCTTTCATCAAGTGCCACAGATAGTTTTTCGTTTTAGCATTCAATTAAACAGTCATAACAAGAGATTATCAAACCTGAGATACACATTTTTTTCCATCGCAAATGTTTAAGATATTCACATAAACTGTGACTGATTGGATTATTTTTTACATGGAACGTAAAAACATCGAAAAAGTGACATCTGTTGCTCTGCTAAACCACTTCTTTTCGTAAAACTCTTTGTTTTTGGTTATTTTCAAAAAGATTCTTACTAAAACAATTCTGCTATATTAAACATACCCATGTTCATACAACTGCTTTAGGTTATTTTCTCTGATTTATTATTTACCTTAAAAATGTATATGCCTTTCAGTTTAGAGTATGATTTCGTAGTGTTGCCCCGCACTGATTTACTTATTATTTTATTTATTTTATTCATTATTTTATTACTGATATTCAGCTAGTAAATAAATAAAAATAAAATAAAATAAAATAAATAATAAGAATACCTTTACAATTAAGGGAATGGATATTGACGAACTAAGACTCTATCTTAATAGTTCGAGGGGTTGGCCTCAATTATACGAATTAATCAGTGAATTTCATTATTTTTTGCTCACAATTGTAAAATTCTTAAACAGCTGTTCCTTAAAAAGAGCCTTAAAGAGTTTTAAGAAAGCCGTGCATTTAAAAGTCGATTTTTCATTAACTATTTTCAAATTTTTCGACTATTATTAAATAAAATAATAAAAAGTTACTAAAATTAAATTTTTGCGTGCAATTATCAACAAACGAATTTTATGATTTTGTGCAGAAAATTTTCACTTCGCTTAAAAATTCTTGAGATATGGTGGAATACGTATAAAGTAAAATTAACATTAAGGGTTTCAAACTTTGGATCGCTCCCCTGATCAAACTGTGGAAACCTATTTCACAGACTGAGGAAGGATGTACATTTTGGGGGAAATCCGAACTTAAAATATCGTCTGCACTAATTAATGTACATATTTGAAGTCACTCTCTCGAATCATTAAGGTGGAGTCCTAGACCATTATTCAGAAAAAGTAGTTTTTTGCGTCTGAATTTGTAATTTAAAATATCGTCTGCACTAATTAATGTGCATATTTGAATTCACCCTCTCGAATCATTAAGATTGAGTCCTAGACCGTTATTCAGAGAAAGTAGTTTTTTGTGTCTGAATTCGTAACTTAGAATATCGTCTGCACTAATTAATGTGCATATCTAAGGTCACCCTCACGAATCGTTAAGATTGAGTCCTAGACCGTGAAGATCCGATCATTAGGATCAAAAGTTATTCGGGGTGCTCCATTTTTTTTTTCTGGCGCACAATACGTCGATCCACACGACATTCACGTTGATGACTGAACTTGTAAAAAATAAGTAAACACCAAAGAACGTGCGATAAAATGTTAAACAGAATCGTTTGCAATTTTATTAATGAAATTACTAATGTCAAGCGAAAGTGAAAAAAAAAAGAATAATTAAAATTTTTAAATGATTTTTCGGATCGGGAACAAAAATAGCTCCTCATAGTCAATGTCCAAATTTTAGAACTCAAGCACTTCGCGACAAGGACAGACAAAATAAAGAGTAAACACAAAAGAAAAGTTGAAAAAGATATATATAAGGTCATATAGGCGAATGTTTAAGCTCTAACGCAGATTTGAAAAAAATTCTGTTCGTTAAAAAAAAAAAGAGTTTTTAGAAAATCGCAACAGCATCAAATATTGAGCGTATCTGATTGGATCGTTTTCGTAGAAGCTTTTTACTTTTTTCTACACAATGGTGGTCAAAATAACATATCATACCAGCCAATTCTTTCCGGGGTTGACACAGGAGGCTAAATATGCAAAAAGTGGAGACAAAACATTTTAAATTTTATAAAAAGAAATTATAATTAACAACTTTTTATGGCATACTTTTTCATTAAAAATAAATGTAAAGAATGCTTTACTCTGAATATGAATAATTTGAAATATAAATCATAGTGGTAGTTAAGATTGAATAATAAATAACTAAGTAAAAATGAATTAAGTTTTAGATTTTTAGTTGCCTGGGGCATTACTTTCTTCTGAATTTTTTTGGAAGATTTTATTTTTACAATTTATTTGGTCGCCATATTTAATTAGAATTTGGTTTTGGAAAAATGTTTACCAATAGATAAAAGCTTCTTTGAAGGGAGTAGACGTTGACAAGTATGACAAATTATTAAATTTACTAATTGAAAAATCACACATTAAAGCGTAAAATATGCTACCATTAGAAACAATATGCCTACAAGCCAGAGCAAATTGTAATATCTACATTACGTAATTGTATCTGTAAAACCTAGCATGTATATCGTCCTGTTTTTTGTTTTCTTTTAATATCATTTATAGTGAAAAAAAGTGTGTGTAAGAGATTTGCATATTTTTTAAAACATATAATATTTATTATTTTTGTATAATATGAACTTTATAGTTCATTGAAACATACCATTATTTATTCTATTTAAACAAAAAAAATTTTGTAAATTTTTTTCGTAATATTAAACCCTTTCTAAGGCCGTGGTAAGTATACTTACCACCACTTTTTAAAGTCCATGGTAAACGTTTTTACCACTTTAAATTTAGGTTTCCATTTGTTAATAACTTCAGCTTTCTTGAAGTGCGTTTGAATAAATTTGGTAAACATTTGTTAGTTTAAAAAAACGTATAACAGTTATGAAATACATAATTCCTTTTGAAGTTTGTAGCAATTATAATATTTATTTTATAAATAACGAAAAATAAAAGTCAATAAGTTCCTAATATGTCGTGGTAAATATACTCACCACCAAAAAAATGGAATGAAAATTTAGATTAATTTTTCATAAGCTAAATTAGTATTTTTTCCTTGTGTCAATAACTATTCTTACATAAATTTCAATTCCAAATATACTTTAATTTACCTTTACTAGAAATAAATGGCCCATTAAAGGGTTAAACACGACTGTTTATTATTCGTAAAAAAAGTGGTAGTCTGAGTATTTTAGTTCTACGTTTTACTTTCCAGGAGAGTTAAACTATTCATTATTTACATTTATTATTGCAATGGTCCAACTTTGTAATATTGCAGACACGTTATTATATGCGTTATAATTGTTAATAAGTAGTGGTAGTGACAGAAATATAACAAAGTTTATTTCTTTCGGAAAGAAATGGTAGCTTTGACTATCTGTTTTTTTTTAATTTTTTGATATAAGTAACAGACCTGATTTACATTTTCATTAAAAAAATACTGTAGAATCTGCGTGTTTGTTCTATAAATGAACAAAAACTTCATTCCAATCATTAACAATTATATTCATGTTACCATATAAGCATATTTTTTTAATCAATTCATTTTTCTCCATTTGGAAAAAAAAATATAAGAATAACACTTTGGCATGCATGGTTTACAAGCTGTAAGAAAACAAGCTTCATTTCAATGAATATAAATTATAATTGTTAATTAAATTTCCATTTTATTTGAAGCAGAATTAAGATTGAGAATTATTAATTTTTTAGTCTAGATCTGAAATAGTTTAGGAAAAATAATAAAAAGAGGAAGATTTTAAAGGAAAGATTGTTTTTGTTTTCGCACTGGACTGCGTTGTCCAGTATTCTCAGTATTCCAATGTCATTATGCATGCAATGTTTTAAATAGATTCTCATGCTCATAAACTATTTTAGCTTACCTATTGTGGAAATATATGTATCATAGTAAGTTTCATCACAAAATCTATGAACTATACAAGTTTTACCCACATTACTATCTCCTAAAACTAATATTTTATACGTAGCTACGAAATCCACAGCCATCTTGTTAGTTGACAGTGCGCCGTAATTGATTTTTCCCTGCGCTCGCAGTGCATTGTGGGAGCTACTTCAGCGCCCCCCGCTGTTTACATCAATAACAGAAAGTACAGAGGAAATGTAAAAATTGTTTCGAGTTTCTAGATTGATCTGTATTTTTTTAAGTACGTTCAGATTTTTGAGAGTGTGCTAGTTATTTTAAACATTTAACTGTTCCTATTTAATTTATTTTTAAAATGCTGATTTTTATTTTTTACGAAAATAAAAATTAATGCTTTTTACTTAAAATAAAAGACAACTAAGTGAGCTTTAGGAAATTTATATTTATACATCAGAAATGATTGTCAAACAGAGATCGCATGGTACTTCAAAAATAAAATTATGCTAATTTTATTGTTATGAAGTTGAAAATATATTATATTAACACATAGTCTGCGGGACGTGCAAAAACATGTTTTTGAAAACGTGAAATGCTTATGTGCTATTTCCATGATAATACAAAAGTTTAAGAGTTGTTGCAAAATTCTTTCGTTTTCCTTTAGTTAGCATTTTCTTACCAATGGCGTAAATCATTCCCGCTTTGAATAAAAGTTGGCAGATACGAAATTTAAACAGGTTAATATCATTAGTAATTCAGTTCATCAATCATAGCATTAAGATGCATTTCTATTATTTTGCAAGTATTTTTTCCTCCCAAAGGTTCGCCAAAAATATCAAAGTAATAATAAACTGCTCATCAAAACAATTTAAGTTTTCCTAATTTCACAACCACTTCAATTTTGATAATATTCATCTTACATATGTCAGAATTCTATATGCGCAATAAATTCCCAAATCTTTTAAGTCATCATGAAAATTCTATGATCCCAAAACATAAAACATAAAACATAACATAAAACATAAAACATAAGACATTAAAGCAAAGAATATATTTTATCACCTAAATTTTATTCCCACTTTAAAAATTTTCGTGGATTTTTTGGGAGCCTTTTTGTATATATATATATATATAT